AACCCAGCCCTTCTCACCAGCACAGTCCTGCAGAACTTCATTTTCTGATCAGATTTATCTTGTAACAGTAGATAGGTCTTTTTTCTTTTTTTTTTTTTTTTTTTTTTTAACTAGAGAGCTGTTTCTGGAAGCCTTTCATGCAACATTACAAGCACTAGGCTTGATGTGGAAAACTCTCTGGAGTTTTGAAAAGCTTTCTTATTCTCAGCATCACGCTGTCAAAACAAGTCATTCTTACAGAAGGCTGCAGAATAAAATTATTGACTGCTGTAACAAAAACTCATTACCACATCAACACTAGAGACACAGTAAAAGCTCAGATTTCATAAAAATATTTTGTCCTTAGTCCTCTCTCTTTACAGCTGGGAAATAGCCACCTCCTGGGCCACTGGCTACCATGCTAATATATTACAAACCAGACCATTAAGATAAAGTATCTTGCTGGTAAATTTGCTGAGATTATTGCTGATGTGCTTTTGTGTAATAACTATTCAAATCTGCTAGTGTTAATAGCTTCTCTGGGGAAAAAATAACCAGCTAATTCCTAAGCTTTTCTTTTCCTTAAATCTTCCACTACCACTAAAGGAATCCCAATAGTTTCTACAGTGCCCTGTTTCTAACCACTGAGATCTCAGTGTCTGTAACAGCCCCGAGGGTCTCTGTGCAGATCTGTGCACACACACACGGACACACAGGTGAGGGTGGCTGTGGGTATCAAACACTCTCTGCTTCTGCTCAGGGCTTCACATCCCCGCTCCACACTGCAAAGTTTTCCTCACATTACCAGGCATGCTTTAGGCTTTTCCCCCTGCAAGCAGGAGAACATTTCTGCCATCAATCTCCTCTCCCACATTCTATTTGCTGATGAGGCATTTCCTCGACTATCCAAGGTCAAGAAAGGCAGTTGAGGGCTGTGTGTTCATTACAATGAGGATAAGGAGTGATAGCAATTCCCACCATTGCTAAGGACAGTTCAGCCCACTGTGGTACTGGCAACAAGGGTTAATTCAGCTACTGGACAACTGCACTCACAAACTTCTTGCTTATCACCAGTAATAATCTACCTCGTATGTGGCATTAAGACAGATACTCCATTATTTAAACATACAGTTGTCCTCAATTGAGGAAAAATAAATAGCTGAGTACAAACCTCATGTCACCTTAGTAACATTGTAGTTTTTCCTCCACTCTACCAATGAGAACAGAACTGAAGTCCCAGGATGAGGAGTTGCACTCTAGTGGGCAGGAGGCTCCGCAAAGCAGCGCAGGATGCAGGCGGGGCTGTAGCGCCCGGGGCTGCCGGGCTCCGGAGGGAAGGAGCTGCCGTGCTTCCCCGGGCTCCCTGGGATGGGACTGTTTCTTCCTGAACTAGGATACACTGAAGCATTTGGAAGACCAGCAGCCATGGATTGGGACTGGAATCTTGCCTTCAACGCTGGACTTGGCCAACTGAAAGAAACCAGAAGTCATTGCACACGTTTTAAAGCAAACTGCAATAGCGAGAGCAGCACTTCAACTCAGAGTGACTTTAGATCTCAGAACCAATGCACCAGCTGAGAAAAATCCTGTCTGGTAAGAGACAGATCTGGAAGAAGAGAAGGAACAGGAAGAGCATGAAATATTCTAAATGGATTGTTGCCCAATATTCTATATTCTATATATTCTAGGTTCTATATTATAGATTCTATATATTCTAGATTCTATATTCTATACAGATTGTGTTGCCCAAATCAGTAAGACATCATGTCTTTCAAAATGGCCGTGATGACACACACCATCCTTCACATGAACAGTTATTTTGGACTGGGGTAATAAAGAATAAAAATAAAACCACTTAATAAGATACATAAAGATAATAAATTCATCTCAATATCCCTCAGCACAATCTAAGTACCACAAGGCAACAAACACAACATTCCTGCACTGCATCAACAACAGGCTGAATTACAAACCAACAGCACAACTATCACTGAGTCCAGTGAAGGATCCAAGTACCAAATCAGCAAAGTGAGACACTGGCCAAGTGGAAAATGGTCACATCTGATTTGTCTGTGGGCTCATGCTCAAGTTACCTGGGACAGCAGTAGAATGGAAAGAACATGACTGCAGCACCAGGAAACTCCTTATCAATAGACACCAGTAAAAAAAGGCTTTGGTGATTAACTTCAGAACACAGTTAATTCTGCTGAATTTAAAATATGGGTTTCGGGGCAACAAGGCCTGAAAATCTGCTATTCAAGCTGATCTGCTAAAAATGTACTCCAGCTCCTGTGACTGAGTTTGCAGCAATACCTTTGCCTGTCAGATGAGGAGTAGGATTGCACTGCGTGTTTCCACTTGTAAATCATCGGGAATTTCTGGGGATCAATCTCTGCTCCTTCTATAGCTGCTAAGACATCACCATCCAGCTTTGAGGGCTGCTCCCTAGAATGGAAACAGAACTAGATGAAAAGAGAACTATGTATTTGTTCAGGCAATGAAACACCCCAATTCCCAAACACTTAGCTTTATATAAGCAAAGAGACTGTCTGTGCAAATAGGAGTTAAATAAGGCAATTCTTACCCAAGAAGGAATAACTTTAAATTGTCGTTTGTGGGTGAAGTCTTTGAAAGAAACTTCTGGGAGGAAAGTTCTTGACGTTGCTGTGACTCCCTAGTCTGAATTCCAGATTCTCTGGACACTCTCTCCTTTTCTAATGATATTTTGTGGTCTGTCCTTAACTTGGTCTCTCCATGTTTTCCTGTAACATTTGGCTCAGGAGAACTTGCCAGTGACACTGCAGAGCAGGTCTTGTCCAGAATTCCCTCATTCTCAGTTTGTTTAGTGATTTTATGAGATACTCCTGCAACCTCTTGTTCTTGGAATGACAGGCCTTCAAATTCTGACATCAAATTGGAAACAGGTGACATGAGGCATTCTGACCCATCATGCAGCTGCTTTCTGTCACTGATGATCCTTTTACTGGACACAGGACTGCAAAACCCATTTTTGCTGGCAGCAGCCCCCTTCTCATAGTGCCGAGGGTGAGCTGAGGTCTCTATGATGTTTCCTGCACACTCCATGGACAGGATATCACACTCAGCATCTCCAATGGCATCAATGCTGGGCTCCTTGGACACCAGAGAGGGGCTGATATTTCGTGCTGCATTTTGTCTGTTTTTAATTTCTTCTAAGCTCATGTCATCATCATCCTCATCCAAAAATGCTCCAACAGAAATGGAATTGCAGGACTTTTTGCTTTTACCTGTGAACAGTTTCAACAAGAGAAACACATAAGAAGACTTTAAACAGAATGTCAAGTACATAAGCTAGGAAAAAAATGCACAATCCTTACGCCTTATTCTATTTCCTGAAGACCACTCTGACTGTATGTAACAGCAAGAACTAACCTGACTAAAGCAACAAATGCAAAATATACACAAGGCAAGCAGTGGTTTAAGGTATAAAAGCTTTCCTGGGTTTTGCTTCTTGTGTCTTTTCAGGTTCACAGTTGTAAAGAATTATTCTTTTATTTTTAAAATGTTATTTATTCCATATCTGTGGACTACAAAATTCTGTACTTTAAGATGAATGCCCAAGTGCTCTGAGTGAAAACATTCTGAAGACAGAGGTTTTCTTACAGGGATTTCATTTGGGTGTACACTCAAATAAACTACTTCACATGGAAGATAAAGTCTGTACTTCCACATTCACAGCTGGCTCTTTTTCTGATGCTGTACTCAGACTGTCTGGACAACAGATGAATAACAGCAACCACCACAGGTGAATACTGCTTCCCCTGGGCACCAAGCTTTTTCTGTCTCTCTTCTCCCCAGGTACAACCCATTGTTTGCAGCATTTGCCCTTTTCTTACCAGAGGGATGTGGAGTTTTGTATCTATTGCAGGTTTCATTTTCCCCTGTTTCTGGCTGAGCCTTTTCGCTCATTTCACGATGACTCAGGTACTCTTCTAACTTTCGCAGCCCCTCCTGGGAAGACAGATCAACAAAACAGCCCAGAAATTCCCAGTATTCAACCCACGGGAACCCCAGCTCATGAGCTAACTCCCTGCAATAAATAAAATAAAACGAATCATTTGTGAAGACATAAATATCAGTTTGACAACAACTTTTCTGATCACATTTTAACAGCTACAAGCAGGAGCACAAACGAGCAGCCAGGCAACACAATCCCACCACAACCAACAGTCTGCAAAAGCACACACATCCTTAGCAATCAAAGTATCACCTCATTTGTTCTAGAGCATTTTTCACATTTCATCTACTATTTTTACAGTTGGCAGCATAAACATTGCTATCTTTAAGCTGACTGTATCTAGACATCAAACAGAAAAATCCCCACTGATACTGCATGCACCAGCTTTTTCTATTTGGGAATGGGAGAGGGAGGAGGAAGTGAGGGATTATTTTAAAGAATGAAATGCAGTCAGCTTTGAACAAATTATTTTTTCCATATGTTGCTGGTAGAAGGTATTTTAGCTGCAAGGACACACCACACACACACAGCTTTTATAAAACAGCAAACTTGTATTAGGATCTTTTCATTCTGCTCCCTTTTAACAATCCCTCACTTTCACAGAACAAACAGGCTATGCATCATTTTAGATCTGACAATGAGGCAAGTAAATATCTGTGAAAAGCATTCTATACATACCATCAATAACAGCTAAAATATTGCCAAAGCTAAGAAAGCCAGGTCTCACATTTTAACTATCTTATTTACACAAAAAAACAGTAAAAATCCAACTGCAAAATATTTCATTAAATATTTCTGCAGTAGCTTTTGCCCCAAGATATTGTGCAGTGAGTAATACCTCTACTCTCAGCACAGTCTTTTGCTTTTACATGCTCTATTATTAAGTTTTTATATTGACAGTCTTTTAGATACCTTCCAACTCTTTCAACACCTCTCTCCAGATCAGATTTCCTGACATTGTGAAAGAAGCCAGCTCTCTCTCGAGGTGGAGTTTTCCACAGCCTGCGAAATTCTTCAGCCTTTAAAAAACAGAAACAAATTCAAAAACGACCCCACAGTATGAACTAACTCAGTGCTGGCTACACATGTACCCACAGATGTTCAGCTGTTTGCTGTCCCTACTCCAGCTAGGAAGGATCTCACACTGGATCTAAAGTTACTCCTTTCACTACTGGTGGTTACTCTGATCTCTACACTGCTCATCAAAGAGAAGGACCATCATGTACCATAATCACCTGAAAATCAACTGCACAGACACCACATCTGCCTGGTTTTAATGTGTGTGCAGCAGGAAACAGAAGTGTCTTGTGATTTTGCCATGTCATTCTATTTAATTACAAATGCCTCCTGGTCATTGTTTCCTAGGATGCAAAGGGGATATTTTTTACGTACAGACTTGCTACAATTATTAGAATAAATTTGTGCTGTCTATTTTGAAGTTGGAATGCCTCAGGGGAAATTTTTTGCAAAATCCTGCACTTAACTTTATATGACAAGGATCACAATGATGACTAAGAGTTACATTCAGACATTAAAAATACATGTCAGCAATAAGAATTATGAACTGTTTATACCCTAGAGAATATTTTTTGGAGTACAAATAATACTTAAATTTCAGTCAGTTGAACAGAAAATTGATCAAAAACTTTTAGAAGAAAAAGCATTAAGCATTTTGGTAGAACTCAGTCTTAAAGAATGCAACCATCAGTCCTCCACTGTATTTATTCACTGTTTCTAAAGCTGTTATATTTGTAGCATATTCACATTAAATAAATGAGTCAAACACCAGTAAATTGGAATATATTTAACAGATATCTAAGTATTCCTTCTGAAAACAGAAGATTTTGCTTTTCCACTATACAGTCAATACATTTCCAAAACCACCCCAACACCTACTACTTGGTTGTCAGTTTTTCCATCTAGAAAAATATATTTATGTTAATTCAACAAGCAGAGGTTATCATCCAGTGGCAACTTCTAGAAATGAGATAAAGATACAGTTAAGGTTCTTAAAACTGATTTAAAGCTGCTTTGAAAGGCTTTGCTTCAGGTTAGAGAGTTACAGCAATTATCTGTAAGAATTGAAAGGTTTGCCAAAGGTGCTCTTTGAATAGATGTCAAGAGGAAAAAGAAAATTTTTTTACTGAACTTCTGCTCTTCTTATTTACACCACATTTCTGTTTTCAGCAATAAAAAAAAATAATTACAAGTTTCTGTGCTTCTCCACGGAGAAAGATCCATCTCCTCAGCAAAGAGAGAGCCACAATCTGTACCAAGAACAAGCTACAGCATATTGGGAACCCTGTGGGGATTTTCTTTATTCACAGAAAGAAGCAGCATGGGCACTGGAGCCACAGGGAGTTCTCTCCTTACCTTTGAGGGGCTCATGGGGCCTGCAAAAGCCCTGATGGACAGCACTGGGTCTTTGGGGCTGCCAGGGTATTTAGGCCAAGCTCTCTGGGGGCCATCGTCCGTCTGGTCGGGCGACCACGGGGCCCCAATGACCGGGGCTGAGGAATTGTCTTCTGCCCTCAGCAGTGGCACATAATAGTGACCTAAAATAAATCAGACAGAGCTTTCTCATTCAGCTTCTGTCACATCAGTCTGTTGCTTCTTCCTGGACTACCAATGCACCCGTACACAGAACCATCTTAGTAAAACTACTTGTAATTCAGATTCACTGCTCCAGTGATTACAGATCACGTTTTAGTGTAGGTTCTCTTCTCTTTTCAAACACAAAAACACCTGCAATAATCCATAAAGCCCTTCTCTCAGGGTCTTTAACAAATTTCCCATCCTCCTTTTACAAACACACACAGGACAAATCAGAGAAATTCTGCCTCAAGGAAATGATAAACTGACAGGACTCCCCAGCATGAGAGATACACCTCTTGCCCTGCAAAAGGTTTTTGTTTCTTTTAGATTGAACACTCTGCTCCAGGCTTACAGAATCAGGGCCTTGCCTACGTTACAAAGCCATGAGGGCAACCTTGTGATCCATACATTAAGAGCTCTGACTGTCATTTAAAAGACAAAAAAGTTCTCTGTCCCTGCTCAATGTTAGAATTTCCCTTTGGTTTTCAGAGCACTGTACAGCAGCATCATTTATAAACTCAAATGCTACAGAAAGCAAACAGGAGACAGCCAAGAGGCAAAATACACGCCTGATATAGTACAAAACTCTGCATACAGACCTTTCAAGTACTCTTTTATCTTTTCTTTCAATTCAGCAGATTTGTTCTTGCTTCTTTCACAGACTACCTGTTAATATAATTGTACTTGTTAGGGCAGCATAGTAAACTCATTTTCATATCAACTGCAATGTGTGTTCTTCCTAAACAATCACATTATTGGCCCCCACCCATCTCACCCAGTACTTTTAATTCATAGTAAAGCAACTAAAATATATCCAACTTCATAAATTCTAAAACTTTTCCAAAGACACAATCAGCATAAAATATTTTTGATGTTATACAGAATTTACTCTTTAATTATGACACTAGCACCTTACTACAAGTCTTCTATGGTAGTCAGTAATGTGTGAATATGAAAAATTCTGATCAGGATAACATTTCTGGGTTTGCTGTGGACATGGAGAGACTTACTTCTGCTGGAGTTTGATCATATTTGTTTCTTGGGTTTTTCACAATGGCTGGGTGTGAGGTAAGCACATTAACCACATCCACATTCCCAAACTTGCAAGCAAAATGCAACGGAGTATCAAACCACTGCAGTGGGAAAAAGAAAAATATTCATATGCACTTAGAATGATTAAAAAGTCAATACCACACATTTAATTTTGAGACTGAGGACAGTAAATACATGTCATGACTAATTATCTTAGCTCTTAACAAATCTGTTCCCACCATAGTGCAGAATAATGATTACCAAAACCCACAGAACTCATGGACAGCTCCCCTTCTGTTCTCTTTCAGTCTCCCTTAACCCCTTCCAGTAATAGTAGTAGTAGTAGTAATAATAATAATAATAATAATAATAATAAACAGGTAAACCCCCAAAATCTTACCATTTTATCTGGAGTGTTCAGGTAAAGGTCAACAATATATTGGATGCGTTTCTTCAACATGACATCGTTATCATCTGGGTACATGAGCCGCATAAATTCTGGATTTTCCAGAGTGTCCAGCAGTAACTGGCAGATAGCAGGCTGATTCTCCTTGGCAGCAACATGCATGACATTGTACCTACACCCTTCCTAGAAAAAAAGACCAGTTTTAGAAAGAATCTCCATCTAAACAGCTTTCTTACACCCAGAGATGTAACTGATTTAACTGTGAACATGGGGTCCTACATGGAGTTTTATATGGATATTTTTGTAAAGACTTATCTTTACACCCATATTAATTTTATAATTAATGAAATTATTCTTACACTCAGTGCCTTTATTTAAGGAAAGAATGTGGCAAAAAATACATCAAGATATTACACAATAAAGGGAGGTAGGAAGTTCAGTTTAGATAAAGAGCAGGAAAATGGGTACAGATATAAAAAAATTCAGCTGCTTTGCTATATTACATAAAAAATTTCAACAACTTCACAAAGCTGGTCTGATGCAAGTTGAAGATAGTCAGTGTTTGCTAAATGGCACCTTATACATGGTTTTGGAATTTAATAGAGGTGCTTAGGTAAGCAATGCTATAGGAACACCTAATTACAGCCTATGCCCTAGCCTGGTCCTTACATTTAGTCTGTTTTAAACAAGATTGCAATTACTTGGAGGAGACCAAAGAATAAGAAGCCAAAACTATTCCTTGCACTACTAAATGCACCTATTCCTCCTCTGAAGAACTGCACACTCGGTTCCTTTAGCTCTGCTGGAGCAAAGGCAGCTCTCAGGGTGACTCACAGACGTGCCCCAGCTGCTGTCAGTGAACACAGAAACCCTGCACTGGGTGGAACGAGGTGTCCTGAAGGAGGAGCAGGAAACATCACTCCTTCCACTTCTGCTTTCAGGCCCCAAAAGCTACATCACTAACCAGAACCCAAATTTTCCTTTTTACTGCTGGTTTCTCACCTGTACAATGGTTGGGTTGTCTCCTGAGCCGATCAGGTAGCGAGGGTTACTCCAAATAAGGTCAGAGAACGTTGCTGTGTCTCCTTTCTCCACAGCTTTCCGAAGCTTGGCTGTGAGATCCTGAGTCCGTGGGCTTTTGTAGCTGTTGGCTCTCTCCTTATTCGCAGTGTCACTCTCAGGGGAGCACAAACCATCTATCAACACACAAATCACTCCTTTCTAGATACATTCTTTCCAGTGATCACCATCTGCACATCCAGGCCATGAAAATTATTCTTTTAATCTAAACCATGTATTAATTTGGCATCTTTAATACACAGGAGTAAGGAAACAACTCAATAACAAGACATTTAAATACACTAGTTGTTAGTAATAGGGAGGGAGAGGAAAATGATGAATCAACTTGTAAAAGTGTTTCAGACTTTAATAGGGACTGGTAAACTTTGTAATTACTAGTCTGCTCCCATCCAAATTTAAAAGCAAAATTCAGCAAGAAACAACCATTTTCTGATTGTTCAAATTGCTTCTGCAGTTCTATAAATCCTAAATCACTTTAATCTAGCAACTGGGAACACTGTGAAATATGATCAGTGCTCACCGTTTTATTTCTGAACTTACAAATTTACTTAAGAACTGAGTACAGTTTGAATATACTGTGCAATTTTATCAGCATCTTGCTAAACCTGAAAATCCTGAAGTCCATGAGTAAAACCGAATCCTAACAAATATGACCACGGAATACTAAGCAAGGTATCCATGCAGACCATTACCTACATTTCAGCTTTAGAAGAGTAGCCATGGTATACTTTACATTTAAAACATTTTCCACATGTTCAACATTTCTATACTTAAAATAAAAGTTCTCTTAAACTTCAATTTATTCAGTGCTTCACCTTCGAATTTTTTCTGTTATTAGCGTATTGGTAAAGCATTTGTTGCTTCTCTCACAAAAAAATAAATCAATGCTGTCTATTGCATCTACTGTAGAGAGATGAATTTCCCCACTTACCTCTGTTAAATGATCCCATTTTCACTGGAGACAAACATAAAGAGGACTTGCCTGGAGATGGGAAATAATCACAGATTCCTTTAGCAAATTTCTCAGCATCCTCTCTGTTTGTAAAAGCTTTAAAACGGGAACCCTTAATCAGCTTAACAGCCTGGAGAGCTTCCTTTCTATCTTCATAAACATGTATCCTCTCTGCAACAAGAACCACCAGAGTTAGATTGTTTCAATAATCTCAGATTTCAACTCCTAGACAGATCACAGAATTCCTACACTATCATTCCAGCTTTGGTCTCAGATCGTTTCTCTTCCAAAGGTGACATAAAAGTCAAAAGTCCTTTTAAATCTTGTCCCCTGGAAACTGAGCAGGAGCCTCCCACACTCTCCAGGCAATACCAGGTGATCCCTATCCCTGCACAGGGCTCAGCCATTCCCATCAATCAACACCCTTTAAGGGATGGGCCACCTTCAACACAGCATTTCACTTCCAGATGGAAAAGCAAACTCAGCTAATTCACCCTGCATCACTTTTGATGCTGCCTTGCTCACAAAGACCAACTTTGTAACTGATCCACAACTTTAAGATCTCTACAGAGTATCTTAGATAATAAACAAATCCTTCTTCTTCTCCTTAAATGATATTGTTCAAATAAGGATATCTTAATGTACCTTTTCTTAGTAAGAATTCTTACTACTGTCTCAGAGGAAATAATCCTGTGTACTACTCTACTCCTGTCAGGAACAGAAAGATGTGAGAACTTTTAGAAGAGATCATTTAAGCTTCCACTGATGACAATATAATTTTTTTTTGTTTGTTTATTTACAGGATTACTTTTTATTCTTGAGAGGGATTAAAGGCACAGGATGGGTCCAAGAGTAGCAATAAGAAATAATTTTCTCCATCTGAGCTACACAGGGTAGAGGATCCTCATATGCAGGAACTGCAAAGGCAAACACCTGGGATGTCTTGAACTGTTGTTTCTTTGCCTCAGAATAAATATTATTTATAGGAACAAAAATACTTCAAACAATGCTTACAATACTAATGCAGTGGTGTTCAGAACACCTGCTACATAAAAGAACTCTACTCAGCCATAACCAAAATGCTTTATCACTGGAAATAAGGGAAGTGAGTATTTACCATTCCTGGCCAGTATGTCATCATAAACTGGGCAAACACCATAGAACAGTGGAGGATCTCTGGATGGTGTCTGAGCAGAGATTTGTGAATCTCCAGCACCACGGGCTGGAGCTGAACAGTTCATGAGTGTCCCAGCATCTTCTTCTGGAGGGTTCAGGCCCACACAGTACCCAAAGTCCACCTCCTCAGCAGCACCTCCATGGCTGTTGTGACTCACTGGCACATTTCCAGCAGCCTCCTCTGGCAGAGCAGACCCTTCCTCCTCCAGGGCTCCTTGCTGCTCCAACAGTGCCTGAGCCAATTTTTTTTCAAAAATAAACCTTGTAGTTGCTGTAATGGGCCCACATTTCAGTCCTGCTCTCACAATCTCTTCTCTAAGCTCATCGTGGCTGAGCTTCTTTAATCGGGATAATATTGTATCCATTGTTATTGCACCTACAGGAAAGGCAAAAAAGGAGAAAAATTGTAAAAACCAAAACTTCTTCTGCTACTTAAATGGTGTACTAAAGCAAAGGAAAAAATGCCTCTTAGTGATTCCTTGGGATTCTGAACAGACCCTTGCAGTGCAGAAAAATCAAATTTTTCAATTCAATGTTTTTAAGCTACCAGACCCACAGCAAGTTTACTTCCTCCTCTCTCGACCACTTAAGAGAGTATTGACAGCTTACATTCTGTTCTTGGTAGTCCTTTTTCAATTTCTTCTAGAGTGAAAATTCAATCTAGAGCATTTACTCATTAAAATTAATGACAGGCTGAGAAATATTTGATTCCTGATAAGAAGGCACAATTTATTTGTGCAATGCAACACAAGGACAGGAGCACCAGTCAGCCCCAAGACAAGGGGCTGCACCTCCCCCTAAAGGCACAGAACTATTTCTAGTATTTCCTCAGGACTTTGTGGCTGACAGAAGTCATGGGGACAAGCACAGGGCAGCACCCAGGGCAGGCTTTCTCTGGCTGTGATGCAAGGCTGGAAATATGTACACAGCATGTTGTTTCCCAGGCCTGTTTTGAGAGCAAACAGCCACAAGACAAAAACAACTGATCTTTTCAGATCTCCCTCTCCAACAGAAAACAGAAGCTGGGAGGATTTCTCCATTTCCAAAGGAACATCCTTCTCTCTGCTATGATCCAATTCCCCAGGCTCATGTCCCTCCATGTAATCCAGCTGACAGCTTCCACACTGGTCAGCAAGAAGACTCTAAAACCAAGCTGATGCCAACACAAATTCCTTGCTCTGAAAAACACAGCTGAAAACCACAGGATTTGGGCAGCTCCAAGAAGCTTTCCCATTATTCCATCAGAACTGCAGCCATGTACCTGCAGGCACTCCCCTGGCACACAGTGCTCAGGAAGGGAAGCTCCAGACAGGAATGATTCAGCTGTGCTATTCCCTCAGCCTGCTTCACTCCTGCCTTGCACTGCCAGCTCATGAGCCTTCTTCTGCTTTGGACAGGGTGTATGGCTGTTTTAGTACTTCATTTTCAATTTTAGGTTTCATCCTCAGTTAATGAAACTTAAGACTACTTTTCATATATTAAAAAACCCAAATGCACACAGTAAGTTTTTGAAGCTTTCAGCAGCAATCAATACAGCACCACATGAAGTTTCATTGCAATCTGAGTTAGAACAAACACATTCCTAGTATTAGGAAACACTGTGAAAATGTACTTAATGCCAAACTTCAATAGTCCTTCAATTATTACAAGTCAACAGTCATGTGAGTTTGAGGGTTGTTTCCTTGGAGGGACATTTCCTTTGGGAGCTGTCTCTTTTTTTATGAATATCTTATTTTGAATGCCTGTGGTTAGAGAACAACGTAACCTCAGCCCCTGAACATTTCACAAGTATTAACTGGAATCTCGCTGAAACAATGGGAAATGAGAATATTTCCAATTAAAAACCCCACCAAAGAGCAGCAGAGCCGCAACTGATGCTGCTGAGCCACTTCCCCAAGGTATTGTAGCTCCCCTGTGATTCCTGAGCCTCCAAGCAACCTCACTGTTTCGACTGTCTGACTACAACAACAGATATGAAAGATCCTCTTACTTGTTTTCAATTCTTAATCTTCTATTTTTTTAAATAAAATTTGATACCAGTATGTTTTAATTAAAGGATGTGCCCCTAAGGTCAATTAAAATATCCAAACTTGCTATTCTAAGGATTTTCCTTTTGAGACTGCATAATTGTAAAACCAGAAGAAGATGAAAACTCAGGGGTGAGAAAGTTCACTGCAAACACAGCTCAGTGAAAACACTCCGAGCAGTCAACATAATGCTTTAAAGAATTAGCTGAGAAATGCTCCTATTTTTAAGGCTCAGAACCAGCACAATCATTCTACAGAAGAGCAGACTTGTACATATATATAATTCATGTACGGAGAGTAGACAGGAACATGCAAAAATCCTTCCTGACTTGTGGGTAAGCAAAAAAATGCTGTGAGGGAGTGATTTCTCTGCTTTCTCAAGTTTTGACAGAACCTGGTACCTAAATCTTAGTGCTCAAAATTTTGTCTGTTAAAAAAAAAAAAAAAGTTATTTATTTTGTGTACCTATTACAACTCTGGCACAACTGAATCAAAATGAGATGGCAAAGCAGACCAGCAGTGAAGAATGAGGTATAAGATCTACTGGTAGTATGAAGAGTTTTCTACAGGGTGTTAGGTGTGGAAATAGGGAAAACATTGTTGGAGTGACAACACAGAACTCTCACAAAATCCATTTGTGTTCTGACAATGAGATTTCAGCTAATTTAGATATGCAATATTGGTTTTTAATTTCATTACCTATTTTAATCTGTCCAAAACAAAATGTGTGACCTGCAAACCTGAGAAACAGCAACTGCTCATACTGAGACAATCCTTTGTCCACTTGTTACATGCAGGTGCAAAATGAGATTATTTGAACCATAAAATGCATTATATAACTACAAATGATCCAGAGCACAGCCAGTACTGAGATTGCTGCCTCTTCTAGTTCAGCACATAAGGCCTTGTGAGTTACCTTTGCAAATACGAATAACTCCTTTAACAACAACATGTTCTAGGGTTCTTCCATATCAATCAAAACCTGGGAGAATGGGCAAGAATTGTATTCTCCTTTATCTCACTGGGTCAGAATGAAACAGCAGAATCTGCTTCCAAAAAAAATTAAGAATAGACCCCAGACAGAATGAACGACTGACTTCTAAGGATGGCAGTATTATTTTACGCCACTACTCTCACTACTTTCAATAAATGAATAATATAAGAAAAATACTATTTTTGGCTGGGTTGTTTTTGTTGGGTTTTTTCCCGAGGTAGGAATGGAGAGTCACATCCTGTCTTTGGCCATATTCGGCTGATAGGATTTGCATATATTAGAGCAACCGTGGCTCCGCGATGGGGTGATTTGTCTGTACCGCCTGTGGGCAAATGAGCCACCAGTTCTGAACTACGTGGCTGAAAGGGAACTGCTGAACAAACTTGAAATAAGCCACGGGAAAAGAAAAAAGGGAAGGGGAAAAGGGGCAACTTTTCAGGGAGGAGAAAGGCACACCTATGTCTAGACCCGGACGGGCAGG